TTCCATGACTTGTGTTCTTTATTGATATTTGAACATATGAAAAAAACAGCTCTCTCAGTTTTTAAATTAAATTATTGGCTATAATCATAGTATTTATGTCATGTACCTAATATGTAATGACTTCAATTTAATAATGCAGTTTGCATGATTAAAGCATTGTAAATATCTCAAAACACAGCCTCTGCCTTTTGTATTTATCTCTGCACTAGTGCCATTGGTGTCTTCTTAAAATCTTCTCTGCCATTTGTCTGCATGTAGCTAAATACCATACTTTCTTCTATATTTAGTTTGATTAGGAATGTATTAAATTTTTCTCTGAAACAAGTAAAAACAATCTCCAAATTTTGTTTCCTTCAACACAACTCTATACAGGAGATACTTTATACAATATTTCAAAAGACTGCTATTTATATGTTAACCACTTTATGAACAAGAAAACACTTTTTCCATGAGAAAGAAACAAATAAGCAAGAGCCATTAATATCATTATTATTATTACTATTGTTGTTGTTGTTGTATTAGCAGTTCTTGGGATCAAAGCCAGGACTTTTACACTGAACTACACCTCCAACTCTTTATTTTTACTCTGAGACAGGTTCTTACTAAGCTGCGCACCGGGGTTCAAACTTAGGATCATCTTGCCTTGGTGTCCCAGAGTCCTGTGATCATAGGCATCATGGTACCACAACCAACTAAGAGCAGGTACATTTTATTAAAGTCTTCACAGCTGGGGTCAAAAATAAATCCCAAGAAAAAGTATTGTGAAGCTAAATGATTTCTTTCTTTGGAGGAAAAATCAGAATCATAGAGGACGTTTAGATTTGGACAGGTTGTGGATTGCATGATTTTGATTGAGAGGCAATTCTGGTGTAGCAGACACCAGGGTACAGTCTCTATACAGCTAAGAGTGCTATACAGCTAAGAGTGCTGTACAGGTATCTAGCTGTACTATACTGTGCTATACAGTACTATACAGCTAATTCCAGAAGAAACTGGGAGATGTCTGTAGAAATACCCAATTTTCCAGAAATTGTGTCCACATGTTGATTTGTCCAAAGGAAATGTTTGTTTGCCACATCTTATGAGATTCTTGAAGTTTCCAAGTGAGAGGAAGGAAAAATAAAGACAAGAGACAAAAGCTGAGGTCAGGTGGAGCCCTTTCTATCCAGATGGGAGGAAAGAAGCTGCTCCACTACCATGGGGCATTTATTTATACATTTGACACATTGATGTCTTGTAATACCACTTTGCCTAACAACTGATGGCTTGGATTGTCTCAGAGTTTAGTGTTCTCTGGAAGCAGAGAACAGAGTGTTCTCTGAAGCAGCTTGACTATGTGGCTTGCCTCAGCTGCTCTTTGTTCTCAGACCTGCCCTGCCTCAGCCCTACACATGTGATCAATTTCCAGCTTCAGCCACTCCCTACATTCTTTTAGATATTGGTGGTGTGCTGAATTGGGGATTATGCTAGAAAATAGAATGTCATCACTTTAATGTGCTTTAAACTCAAAGTTCTGGTAGATGAGATGTGCAGCAGTACAGTTCACATGGAGCGTCCTGGTTCTCACGCCCTTGTGTAACCCTCACCCATTGAGTGCAACGAAATTAGTGATTCACTTCCAACCATGAAAATGTGGAAGAAGTGATGGTGTAGCAGAAAATGTCCCCCAGACAGTATACTTCAGTTGCTTCATTGCCCAGGTGATAGTTCTGGTTACAGTTCCCTTTACTTTTGTTTCTTAGAAAGGGTTGGTCACTGGGATGCATATTGTAAGAAACAATCCCCAGTTAACAAGCCATTCTGCCTCTGTACTTCCTGATTTCTTATCCCATATAAATCCTAGACCACCAGAGATCAAGGCCTGATATTTTGGGAATGATCCTGATCAGTGCTCACCAATGTAATCAAATCTACCTGTTGTCTCAGTGTTTCTGCTTGTTGTAGCAATGGGAGATTAGTTCTAAAAATAAGATGAAGAAACAGGCTTTCTACTGTGGAAAACAGTATGGATATTTGTGTAAATATTAAAAGTAGAACTATAAAGGAAATGATATTGGTTCATTGAAAAAACATCTGCACTTCTATGTGTGTTGCAGAACTACTCACAAGCACCAGGAACTGGAGACAACCTAAGTGCTCATCTATGGGTGAATGGATGAAAAAAAAGGGACATAGAGCTACACACAATAGAATACTATTTAGTCATAAAAAGGACATCATTCTGTCATACAGGATAATGAGGATGGATCTAGAAGTCACTATGTTAAGTAAAATAAATCAGACAGAGAAACAAGGGCCCTGTGACATCATTCATATATGGAAGGTAAAAAATTGATCTCATATAAGTTGAGAGAAGCATGGAAGTTTACAGAGACTGTAGAAAGTCTCAGGTAGGGAGGTATGGAGCATGACTGATTAAAGCGTACTATGTACAGTGTGATAGGAGCAAGATGAGGACTTAGTTTGTCTCCCATTCTTGATGCTCGTGAACAGTACTGCAACAAACGTAGGAATGTAGGTGTATTCTGTTGCATAGACAGTGGCTATAGATAATGACAGTGCACTCTGTATGGATATTTTTAAAATCTAGAAGAAAAAAGTGATAAATATCCAAAAAGATAGATATGTTTATCCTGATTTAGTCATTATATAATGCATATTTGTATCAAAACATTATATTATACCCCATAAATATGTATAATTTTATGTATCAGTTAAAAATAAAGAAAATAATTTAAATACTATCAGAAAATATCGCCTTCGTTTTGTGTTCCCCAGAGTATTTAAGTAAAATATATAAATAAAAATGTAGCAAATATGTTATCAAATAAATATATAAGCATCAATTATCTTATAATATATCAATGTAATTCCATTGGAGAAAAAAGAACTGAAGATTCATTCAAGCTAGACAACAAATCCGCATAAGTTGCCAACATGCATAATGCCAACAGTAAAGGGAAAGGAAATTAAAATAAGTTCTTAGCAATACTCAGAAGTGAAAATGGTATGAGAGTTTTGATACAGAAAAATCTATTTTTTCCTATACTTCTTGATTAATACAATGGATTGACAAATGCCAAATCCCACATTGGGCTGCTAAATTGAAAAATATTAGTTTGAGTTGTTTCCATCTCTCCCTTTTCTACCCCTTTCATTTTTGGGACATTATCTCACTATGTAGCCAAAGTTGACCTCAACAATTTTCCTTCCTCAGCCTCCCAATAGAGAGGAATACAGGAATTTATTACTATGCCCAGCTGCAGTCTGAGTTTTATGTGATGATCCTACAATTTGGAAGTCAAAAGTAATAAAACTTTCCACATACACAGAGATTTTGTTAATACTAACAAGTCCTTGGAGATTTAAATAACATGGATGAATGCTAATTAGAAGCTGTGTGCCTTGATCCTCCGAGGTCACACAACTGAGATAATTAGCCAGGCCCTCCAGACCTTCACTTTGTCAGTTCCAGTGCAGTGGCTCCATACCAGTGTCTGCTGCCCTCATGCGCCCTTCATCAAACTGCATCAGTCTTCTTTCAAATCTTGAATACAGAGTCTGAACTTTACCACATCCCAGGCAGAAGAGGAGCAACAGGTCCACTCTCCTTGGTAATGATGCAGCAGAAACCCAGCCCGGTCCTGTAAGTGCTAAGACATGGTGGAACGGGCACTGTCAGGAACACTGTTTCTTCATCATTTAGACAAACATGGCAGGGAGAACAGAACTATGGGAAAATACCAAGATACGAAGTATCAGCTCAGAAGACTACATGGGCCTTGGTTGTGGGGCAGGGTCTAGGGATTCTCATTCCATGTTCTACTCTTCTCTCACCCAGATTGTAGCTCCTATAGGCATCTCCTTTGTGCTACTAGTCAGCAGATCTTGCTATCACAGGCAGCATTTGCATGGAATGCTTCTAACTGGCTTAAGAAGGCTGGGTCTGAAACCTGACTTTGTGGAATCTCAGTTGCTAAATTTCTCATTTGTAAATAAGAATGTTCATGATTAGAAAAATAAAATGAAATGGCATTACAGAGTACATAGAAAAAAAACTCCTAAAAAAAAAAAAAAAAAAAAAACCAGAAAATGAAGTTTCATACAGAGGACATTTTCCTATGATTGTATGAGGTTGATACAATAACTGTATAAAATCAAAAATTTCAGAAGTTTTTCTTAAAATTTTATTGTTTAATTATTGATAGATTCATTGCATACTAACACTGTATGTCGCCACTGATGCTTCCTGGTTATGAGGGCATTCCTCAAAAACTGAACTCCACCAAAGCCAAAGCTTGAAGTTCTGTATTAAATAATTTTAAAAGACTATATGCATATTTAAATGAACATTTATTTCCAGGAAGGAGTGAACTCACAAACTGAAAGAATTAGGGAAATTTGATTGGCAAAGAAAAATGTTTTGTGGTTATGACCATTCAAGCTTCTTTTGAATAATCTTGATTAACATAGTCTCAGCTCTTCTGGAGTATTTATAAATGTTCAATATCCAACGCTTGGGAGGGTGAGGAAAAAGGAAGAAGAATTCAATAATGAGTTTAAGACAAGCATGGAATATCAAGTGAGACCTTGTATCCAAAAATCAACACACAGAAAATTAAATAAATAAATAAATAAAGGTAATTTGCATGATTTTAGATAAAATAACCTGTATTTGACAGATTCTTAATTTCTTGGGATTAGATTGATTTTTCATTAGTGTGGGGAGGATGCTATTCCTTTTTAAGAGTAGACTGTATTTTACTATGATAAGAAAGCATTATCTGTAATGTTCTTGGTTGCATACCATTTTTCACTAGGATGTGTTTAATGTGTGTGCACAAAGAATGAAGAACAGCAAAAAGAAAAAAATGCAGAAACTATTCTACTGAACAGTGTGTTTGAAACAAAGTAGAAATATCACCAAAAGTGTATAATCAAATGGGAAAACTTTACAAGAGATTGCTTAATCTAAAATACAGAAACAGTGCTAGGTGATAATATATTTATTTTATTTTTCTCTAACTCTCATTTCATTTTCAAAGCTGTCCAAGTGATATAAAACCACAAAATCTAACACATATTGCAGAATTCTACCTCATGAGTCTCTCAGATTATCCTGCACTGCAGCCCATCCTTTTTGGACTGTTCCTGTCCATGTACCTGGTCACTGTGCTGGGGAACCTGCTCATCATCCTGGTCGTCAGCTCTGACTCCCGCCTGCACACCCCCATGTACTTCTTCCTCTCCAACCTGTCCTTGGCTGATATCTGCTTCACTTCCACTGTGGTCCCAAAGATGATTGTGGACATCTCAACTCACAAGAGAGCCATCTCTTATGTGGGCTGCTTAACACAGATGTCTTTTTTGATTCTTTTTGGATGTATGGATGGCATGCTCCTAGTGGTGATGGCCTATGACCGCTTTGTGGCCATTTGTCGCCCTCTGCACTACACAGTCATCATGAAACCTCAATTTTGTGTCTTCTTGGTTTTTCTGTCTTTTTTGTTTAGCCTTATGGACTCACAATTGCACAGTTTAATTGTCTTACAATTTACTTACTTCAAGGATGTGGCAATTTCCAATTTCTTTTGTGATCCTTCTCAACTACTTGGTCTTTCCTGTGCTGACACCTTTACCAATAACATTGTAATGTATTTTGTTGGTGCCATGTCTGGTTTTCTTCCTATCTCTGGAATTTTCTTCTCTTACTACAAAATTGTTTCCTCGATCCTGAGAATATCATCATCAGATGGAAGGTATAAAGCCTTCTCCACCTGTGGGTCTCACTTGGCTGTTGTTTGCTTATTTTATGGGACAGCCATTGGTGCATACCTTGGTTCAGCTGTGTCGTCTTCCATCAGAAAGAGCATGGTGGCCTCGTTGATGTACACTGTGGTCACACCCATGCTGAACCCCTTCATCTACAGCCTGAGGAACAGGGACATTAAGAGTACCCTGAGGAGGCTCCACAGCAGAGCTGTCTAATCTCAGGACTTGTGCCATCCCACTGTGACTGCACATTGAAAAATGCAGCAAAAATAAATATCTAGACTAGTAAATATTGCCTCCTTAGTCATTTTCTTTTCTGGCTTTCAATGACTTTTATTCCTTATCATATTTCCCAGTAGAGTGGTAGTTACCATAGTTTGGGGCAGCAGGGAAGAAGAATCTTAAAATCATGTCCAAGTTTTCAGTTTGTGAAGATCAAAAATATCTGGAGATTATTGAGGGTGATGGTTGCACAACAAATAAAAGTAATTAATGTCACAGAATTGGATATCTAACAATGACCTACCTAGATATTCATGCTTAATTGTTTTGTTGTATATGTTTTACAACTACCAACAATAAGAGTACAAATGGGTATTTGGAGGGGAAAGAGATTGATTCTCCTTTTCAGCAGAGGAAGAGCCCAAAATCATTCATTCATTCATGGACAGTCATTTTCTTTTTTTCTTCTTTTCCTAATAATGTTAGGAAGTCCAGAGTTTGTGATAACTCACACTAAATTGGTAATTAGGAGCTATGTGCATTGAGCCTCCAAGGTCACATAATAGCTAATGCTCAGCTAAGCATGATTGCACTTGCCTCTAATCCTAGCAATCTCTGGGAGGTTGAGGCAGGGAGATCCTGAGCCTGTGCCCAACCTGTGTGACTCAATAATTTAAAAATAAAAATGAAAATGAATTGAGGATGTAGCTCCATGCAAAGGTGGTGGGTTCAGTCCCAAGAATCAGAAAAAACAAAATCCAATCCTGAGCCTATGCCTCCAGCTCTTCTGTGTGATAGTTCTAGTCATGTGTCTCCTCCATCCATGATTATCTGAGTTGGGAAGTGTTCCATCTCACAGTGTGTTCATATCAATCTGAAAAATAGTCTGAACCTTCACTGGTAACTGGCAGCCTGGCATGTGCAGTCTTTGATCATGACATGGCACAGACACAGCTTCACCCTGTCAGTTGTGAGGGAAGCGATGCATGGAGGAGGGACTGCCAGGAACATGGCCCACCTAGCACCAGGACACATGTGACATAGTCTTCCCAAAGTTATTTTTATTTCTTTGAGCCAAAAATTGCTAAGTTACCCAGACTGTGTTTGAACTTGGGATCCTCCTGCTTTTGCCCTCTCAGAGTGTTGGAACTGTAGGCACACTTTCCCATATCCAGCCAGAAAGGTACTTTCTACATCAAATATTTATGCAGTTGTACGGAGTTGATACCAAAAAAACTGTATAAGTATGTAATTTCAAAGACTTCAAAGTCTTCTGTTTGCTATTCACTATTTTTTAATCATTGACTTGTGTGGTATACACTATTACTACATTTGTGGTCCATGAATAAATCATATTTATCAAAATTTCTAGTACCAAAGTCAAGAATAGCAGTTACATATGAAATTACTTTAAAATGGTTTTATCAATTTCGCATTCTTACATCTGGCAATCTGAGCAACTTTGTTGATGATAACAGTATGTAATATAACAACCATTGTTAATTCCTATCATTTTGTTTTGAAACCCTGGATCATTATTGTTTTTGTGTTGTTTTGTTTTTCTCTATGTTATTATTTTATTATTATTATTATTATTATTATTATTATTATTATTTAATCTCTTTAAAATAAAAAATAAAAGAATATTACAGGTGCTCATTTTTTACTGTGTCTTTAAATTGGGGGGGCTAATTTTTTGAGTTCTTTATATATTCTAGAAATTAGTTCCCTGTCTGAGGGGTAGCTGGCAAAAAAATTTTCCCACTGTCTAGGTTGTCTCTTCACTCTGCTGATGGTTTTCTCTGTCATGCAGAAGGTTTTAATTTGATGTGATTTCATTTGTTGATTCTTTGTAATATTCCTGTGCAACTGGGTCTTTGCCTACCAAGAAGGAGAAGCTTGAGGCATTTTTAAGTCATGGATGCACCTCAAGATCATAGTCTTAAGTAAAATGAATCAGACACACAAGTTTAGTTATCACATTGCTTTGCTTCTATGAGAACCCCAAAGTATAAGTACGGAGCAAAATAAAGAATCGATATTAGGTAATAGGGTCTACGGCCATACCACCCTGAATGCACCCGATCTCGTATGATCTTGGAAGCTAAGCAGGGTCGGGCCTGGTTAGTACTTGGATGGGAGATATTAGGTAATAGGAAAAACATTGTCAAATGGTAAGGGAAGCAGGAGATAGAGAGAGAGGGAAGGAAAGGAACAGGGATTTAAAGAAAAAAAGGATTGAAGGAGAAATGCAAATAGAGCTTTTGCAAGTGGGAAGTGGAAGAAAGGCTGGAGGGAGGGGAAGGGAAAGGGACAAAAAGAAGAATTAAGATGTCTTACGTACATGTACAAACCCACCATGATGAATGTGATCACTGTATGCTACAAACATACACTAATAAAAAAGATAACTACAATTTGAGTGAGCACTTACAACTACAAAGGAAGGAAAATCAGAAAACCCAAGGAGATTGAATGGCTGGAACGTAATTGGAACAACAATATGCCCTACTTATAAAATATAAGCTTTAAAACAAAAGAACTTAATCCAAAAGATTTAAGCAACTTCTTCAAAATATATATGTTGTGTTTAGTAATAGTAAATAAAACGGGTCTCTTGCCACTCCATACCAAAAAAAAAAGAAATCTAAGCTTTAATTTAGTGCCCAGATAATGCAGTCATAGCATTTATAAAGTCTTCATAAATGTTTGAACTAAAGAGAATTTGGTCTACTCTCTCTGAGTGAAATGTGTTTGACATCATCTTTATGTTTTACATAAAGATTTTTCCCTTAAAATGGGTAATTTCTCAAGCTCTACTTATTCTGAAGATGGTAAGATATATTTTACAGGGATTAGGGACTTATTATCACTAATGTTCTTGGTCTTTTATCATTGCTAAATTGAATGTTCCTAAAGTAGGTGTGCACAGAAGATAAATAGCTCAGAAACCAATATTGTAAGAGATCTAAGAAAATTGAGTTTGATATCATTGAAATTATGGATGTCAAGTATGAATACATAAGTTGTGAATACTAGAATTCAACCTATATAGTCAGTTATGGGTAGCTCTTTCTTTCCACCTTCTTTTCTTTTTTAAAGGCTCCTGTGCAGTACAGAATAAAAAACAATCTAACCTCCATCTCAGAGTTCCAGTTTGAGTTTCTCAGAGGATGCATAACTGCATCCTCACTGGACTCTTCCTGTCCATGCCACTGACTGCAGTGCTTAGGAAACTGCTCATCATCCTGGCCATCAGCTCTGACTCCCACCACTATATCCCATTTACTTCTTCCACCCCAACCTGCCCTTGGTTGACATCTGGATTTCATCTCTCCCACAGTAGCAAAGACGACTGTGGACATGCTAACTCACCGCAGCATCATCTCCGACATGGGCTGCTTCACACAGATGTCCTTTTGATCCTTTTTGCATGTATGGACAACCTGCTTCTGATTGTGATGGCTTAGGGCTGTTTTGTGGCCATCTGTCACCCCCCACATTACTCAGTCATTGTAGACCTCACCTCTGTGTCTTCTTAGCTTAGTGTCTTTTTAGTTTACCTCTTGAACGCCTACTTGAACAATTTTATTGCCTTCCACTTTATCTGCTTCAAAGTTGTAGAAATTTCTAATTTCTTTTTAACACTTCTTAACCCTTCATCTTTTGTCTTTTTATGCCTTATCAAGTAATAGTGACAAGCACTTTATTGAAGCCACATTTGGCATTTTTTCCCATCCCAGGGATTCTTTCCTCTTACTACAAAATTGTTTCCTGCATTGTGAGAATCCCATCATCCAGTTGGAAGTATAAAGCATTCTCCACCCTTGAATCACACTTGTCAGTTGTTGGCTTTTATTATATGGAATAAGTATTGGCAACTACCTTGGGTGAACTGTATCACATTCCCTGAGAAATTGTTGGTGTACTCAGTCATTTATATGAGTATCACTCCGATGCTGAATCCCTAAATTGGGAACCTGAGAAATGGGATATTAAGAACATCCTGTGGATACTCCACAGCTGTGCTGTCTATTGCACTGCCCAAGATAAGCATTTTAAATGTATGGTGGAAAAGACAGGGAACCTAAACATCTATGCCAGTATATTCTGTACCCTCTGGCATGTTATTTATTTCTTTGAAGATTATGAATAATATTTAGTGTGCTGTAAACAAAAAGAAAAGACAAATAAGACATAAATATAAATATGAAGCACACTAACACTTCAAATTAAACTATGTGCAAAAGAAAGACCATCCAAAAGCTGATATTCA